TTGAGTTCGTTGTTTGCGAGGGCGAGTTGAGGTTCTGTTTTTGCGAGGGCGAGTTGAGGTTCTTGTTTTCGAGGGCGAGTTGAGGTTCTGTTGTTGGAGGCGAGTTAGGTTCTGTTGTTGCGAGGGCGAGTTGGTTCTGTTGTTTGCGAGGGGATGAGGTTTCTGTTTGCGAGGGCGAGTTGAGGTCTTGTTTGCGAGGGGATGAGGTTCTGTGTTTGCGAGGCGAGTGAGGTTCTGTTTTTTGCGAGGGCGAGTTGAGGTTCTGTTTTGCGAGGGGAGTTGAGGTTCTGTTGTTTGCGAGGGCGAGTTGAGGTTCTGTTTTTTCGGGCGAGTTGAGGGTTTTGTTGTTGCGAGGGCGAGTTAGTTCTTGTTTGCGAGGGAGTTGAGGTTCTGTTTTTGCGGGCGATTGAGGTTCGTTGTTTGCGAGGCGAGTTGAGTTCTGTGTTGCGAGGGCGATTGAGTTCTGTTGTTTTGCGAGGCGAGTTTGAGGTTTTCTGTTGTTTGCGAGGCGAGTTGAGGTTCTGTTGTTGCGAGGCGAGTTAAGTTCTGTTGTTTGCGAAAGGGGGGTTGAGGGTTTTGTTGTTTGCGAGGGCGAGTTAAAGGTTCTGTATGTTTGGCGAGGGCGAGTTTAGGTTCGTTGTTGCGAGGGCGGTTGAGTTCATGTTTGCGAGGGAGTTGAGGTCTGTTGTTCGAGGGCGATTGAGGTCTGTTTTTTGCGAGGGCGGTTGAGGTTTGTTTGGCGAGGCGAGTGAGGTTCTGTTGTTTGCGAGGGCGAGTTGAGGTTCTGTTGTTTTGCGAGGGCGATTTGAGGTTCTGTTGTTTGCGAGGGCGAGTTGAGGTTCTGTTGTTTGCGAGGGCGAGTTGAGGTTCTGTTGTTTGCGAGGGCGAGTTGAGGTTCTGTTGTTTGCGAGGGCGAGTTGAGGTTCTGTTGTTTGCGAGGGCGAGTTGAGGTTCTGTTGTTTGCGAGGGCGAGTTGAGGTTCTGTTTGCGAGGGCGAGTTGAGGTTCTGTTGTTTGCGAGGGCGAGTTGAGGTTCTGTTGTTTGCGAGGGCGAGTTGAGGTTCTGTTGTTTGCGAGGGCGAGTTGAGGTTCTGTTGTTTGCGAGGGCGAGTTGAGGTTCTGTTGTTTGCGAGGGCGAGTTGTTCTGTTGCGAGGGCGAGTTGTTCTGTTGCGAGGGCGAGTTGTTCTGTTGCGAGGGCGAGTTGAGGTTCTGTTGCGAGGGTGAGTTGAGGTTCTGTTGCGAGGGTGAGTTGAGGTTCTGTTGCGAGGGCGTGTTGAGATTCTGTTGTGAGGGGTACTAATGTTAGTAGTCTGTTACTGCTTCTGACCTCGTTCACCCTCCTCATCCCCTCCCTTAACACCCCTCCTCACCCCTACCATCATACTTCACTCCACTTCCCATGTTCTCTTTCCTTCGTGACCCGATTTATGTCCACCCATTACATCACGCCCCCTCACCACCTGTACAACGCCCCCCTCCCCACTTGTACAGCGCCCCCTCACCACCTGTACAGCGCCCCCTCACCACCTGTACAGCGCCCCCTCACCACCTGTACAGCGCCCCCTCACCACCCATACCACGCCCCTCGCTGATCAAATTACCGCTCCTACTTGCACTATTTTTTGCCTTACAGAGGTAGGCCGGGATCGTCATGTGTACTTGAAATTACGGAGAACACGAAACGTGTGCTGGAGAACACGAATCGTGTGCTGGAGAACACGAAACGTGTGCTGGAGAGGTAGTGACTGTCTCCCAGGGCACACCAAGCAGTACATAGACCCTCGTGTCATATTCAGGTCAATAAAGTCAGCCGTGTGTAATATGACCTCAGCTACAGTCCTGAGTGGTGAGAAACATCGAACTCGCCCGACCTCCCTCTCTCAGCATGCTGGAAGCGCAGCGAGAGACAAATCAAAGGTTGAGAATATGATCATGGTATACAATACTGACAGGTTGATATGTAAGACATGTAACAGGTAGCTTTATTCTGAAAAGTTTCGTAATAAAGATACGTAACTTGCACAAGGCGTCTTATCGAGTCAAAAGTTGACGACGGGAAGCGAACAGTAAAATTACCTGTGGTCCATCAAGACCAGAGTTCGGCAGAAGCAAACTAAAATATTGCTTAGGACTTCTCTATATAAGAGCTCTCAATCTTTTATTTTTTTTCCTTCCTTCCCCATAGTTTACTGTTTGCTATTTTGTATTTCGAAAATTTGAGGCCTTTTAAAACAATGAGGGTGCCTAGGATGGGGGCAGACTACGACTTAAGCCTCCAAAAAATTCATCAGCCCCTATAGCACCCCTAATAATAATAATAATAATAATAATAATAATAATAATAATGCTATTTCAAGGTATGTTCCCTAGCTCTGTCTTCCAGCCAGATTGGCACCCAGAAGCTCATCTTAAATCTTGTGAAGCTGCACTCATTCTTATAACCTTGTCTTTGCGTCTAAGTCTCGCCCTGTGCTCGAGAGATGTCTAAAGCCGTGGGTCGGAAATGCGGATTCAGAGCAGTTATGCTCGCTGCGTGGCAGAGAGGTCTCTCTCTCTCTCCTCCTCTCTCTCTCTCTTCTCCTCTCTCTCTCTCTCTCTCTCTCTCTTCTCTCTCTCTCTCCTCCTCTCTCTCCTCTCTCTCTCTCTTCTCCCTCTCTCTCTTCTCCTCTCTCTCTCTCTCATCTCTCTCTCCTCTCTCTCTCTCTCTCTCTCTCTCTCTCTCCTCTTTTCTCTCTCTCTCTCTCTCTCTCTCTCTCTCTCTCTCTCTCTCTCTCTCTCTCTCTCTCTCTCTCTCTCTCTTTCTCTCTCTCTCTCTCTCTCTCTCTCTCTCAACAGAATGAATATATGTACCTGGCTGGCTGCGGTTGAGCAGATACCTAACAAGTTTGCCTCCGGGTATCGAAACGTGATTTAAGAAGTAATGGGATTAGAAAGTAATGTAGTAGCACCTTAATAGTAAAACAATACGTGATTTAAGTAGTAATGACAGGATAAAGTAATGTTAGTAGCACATTGATCGGAATAATAAGTCATAATAATAGCGACAACCAATTTTCCATATTAGAATCAACTTAAGTCATAATAGAAGAACAGCACGTTGCTGCTGCACGTTGCTGCTGCACGTTGCTGCTGTACGCTGCTGCTGCACGTTGCTGCTGTACGCTGCATCTACACTAAATCAAGAGCTTCAAGTAATACAAACTTTTCGAACATACCCTTCATGGGTAAATACATCGTTAATAGACTCCATTGCGGGGTTTCTATCCTTAACATGATCTATATAAGTTTGGAGAGTATACGATCATATCAAGTTGTGGCGTTACCTTCCACAAACAATATATCCTAGCACACTTACACAAACACTAGCTTGTTTGTTATACGTGTGACCTGCTGACCTACATAGTGTTATTGATTACTGACCTTGTGAGGTATGAAGGGGGAAGGGTAGGGGATGCACTGCCTGTGGAAGGTACAACACCCCTCAACCAATTATTCCCTTTGGTGAACCTGCTGTCCCTGTTCCTCCAGTAGTAAGTAGGTACTTGGATGTTAGGCGACTGGTGTGGGTAGCATCCTAAGGTTGGAGGATTACAGAACCCTAATGAATCTAAGCCAGAGTAGCTTTCTCGTGTTATCCTGGAATAATAAGCCACCGGGTTAATAATTCGAAAAAAAATTTTCTTGGCGACTCTGGACTTCTAACACTCGCTGCCAAAGTTTACTAACAGAATGAACAGTTACTTGGAAAAAACTGCTATGCAAATATGTAAAAAAAAAAAAAGAAAAAAATACTCCGGTCTTCCTGGAAACATGAAAAAATTTCAACCTTTTGGAAGTATTCAATTGTTGTGTAACAGTAGACGCACACTGCAGTGTGTATACTTATGACCTTAATACGACCTGTATGGTCGTTCAAACGCTTTGAAACACATGCCTGACCTTGTCCCCAGGCAAAGGCGCCTCTTGTTTAGTGACCATCTAAGTTAAGGTTGCATACAATATACAAAATACTGTGCAAATTGTGTAAGACTGAGCCCGTGTCCTTGCAATTTCACTTGTAACCGCTCAGGCAGTGTCCACATTTGTAGCGAGATTACTCACGAATTACCCACTCTAGCCTCGCTAATATTGACACGACCTTGTACCTGCTGTTGAAAATAGCTTCCTTACGAATGCCTGTATAGTGCCCACACTGTGCACCTTTGTGAAGTGCATGAATTCATGGAGAAAGAGAGAAATGGAAGTACGGTATGACATTGTTTCTTTAATACTAAGTTGAGTGCTTTGCGTTTTCGTGCGTTGCTTGAAGCTGGGTACGTGAGGCAGCAGATGTTTGTGATGTACGTGGGGCAGCTATTGTTTGTGATGTACGTGGGGCAGCTATTGTTTGTGATGTACGTGGGCTGCTAATCAGGAGAAACCTGGACCATTTGCCAGGGTTTGTGGACGGTTTGCCAGGGCTGGTGGACGGTTTGCCAGGGCTGGTGGACGGTTTGCCAGGGTTGGTGAACCATCGCCAAGGTTGGCATGGGTGGACTAGTTAACCACCCTGGGGCAGGCATGGGGTAGGAAAGAGAAATGTCTTAACAAATCTTCTAACAACACCAACCTCTGGAATGACTGACTGAGCACATGCTAACAAGCAACATGTCTGTCTTTTGTGTTACCAGTCTTTAATACGCATTTGGGATCACAGTGTATAGTGGGGGTCATCAAGGTGCTAGTTCAAGTGCCAACCCCCAGCTTGGCACTCGTGTAAGCGCTGTTCCTTTTAACTTTGGCAGTGAGCTTATAAATCCATATAATTGACCTGCCCACGCGCTCGCCCACCCTCGGTAATTCTGTAATTATCCTCACTGGTTATTACCAGCCATAATGGGGAGTTATCCTGAACTAACCCATGATGGTAGAGTATTACCTACCATACTAACCCATGATGTCAGAGTATTACTTCCTCCTCAGGCGAACTAACCACACTCCTCTTGTCTCTACTCCCTCAGGTGAACATGGATGGTGTCAACGGACAGGTGACTCAGAAACCCAAAGTGTTCTCTTATAACGTGGTATTTGAGCCCGAGGCCACGCAGGAGGATATCCTTGAGCACTCTGGTATTAAGCGCCTCCTGGACATGGCCATTGACGGGTTCTCCTGCACAGTCTTCTGTTATGGCCAGACAGGCTCAGGCAAAACCCACACGCTGACGGGACCTCCGCATCTGGTGAGTGACAGCAGGAGTGAGCACCACCTATGCAAGATGTTCTGGAGTGAGCACGAACCCAGTTAATGTTTTCGAGTGAGCATGAACTCTGTAAGATGTAGAGTGAGCACGAATACTGTAAGATGTTCTGGAGTGAGCACGAACCTGTAGAGTGAACACGAAACCTGTTAGACATTCTAGAGTGAGCACAAACCCTGTTAGATGTTCTGGAGTGAGCACAAACCCTGTTAGATATTCTGGAGTGAACAAGAGCTCTTGTTAAACGTTCTATAGTTAACACAAACCCCGCCAACGTTGTTAACAGAAGCCATAGTGCCCTTTACACCATTATTGACGATAATTTAGCCGGCTGATGGTAGTGGCCTTGAAGAAAACAGTACTTGTTGGAAAAATAAAAAAATATGTGAAGCTGTGAAAAACTACAGCTGAAAATTGTTAAACAAGCGTAACATAAAGAATTTAGTAATTGATACCGGGTTATCATAAGTGAAATGTAATTAAATCTTTCTCAATATTCATACTGTGAATTTGAACCTGAAATGCTAGGAACTGTGTGCCAAAATCCACTGTTGTAAATCCATAGGCATTGTCCACTCACCTGTGTGGATACTTGCCAGTGATTTCTGCCACACTGTTATACAGCAAATAAAATTTGTCATATTTTTTTCATTATTGACTTCAGTTGCTCGAGATCATAAACCATCAAGCATAACTTGAAGGAGTGGAAATTCGATGATAGTTTAGTTTGTTAGATGTATTGTCTCTACGTGGGTCATTAAGTACGAATTTCAGTGTGAGCAAAGTAACATTTATGAAGGTATTCAGGAAAACTGATTAGCTGGACTTCAGTCGTGAAAGCGGGAAGTTCAGCCTAGCACTCTGAAGGAGGGGTGTGGGTATGTTGCGGTTTGGAGGGTCATCTGGACTGTTATGTCAGTACGCTTCTGACAAGACGGTGATTGAATGAGTGATGGTGAAAGTGTTTTCCTCGTTGTCGGGTCACCCTCACCCTACCGATGTGAGTGCAAACTGAAGCTGATTCTTTGGTGAATGATGGAATTGTCAGGTAAAGAAGTATCAGTAGTAGGTTCACAAAATGTGAAGAAACGCGTGAATGGTTGACAAGTGTGTGTTTGTTATTACTTGTTTGCAGTTACAACAGCAGAGTTATGTTGGTGTTCGTCTACATTATCTGTAGTTACAACAGTAATGTTGTTGGTGTCCCGTCTTCAACGTGTATTGTCATGTGCTTATCGTGTTTCTTCCTTAGTCGTCTTTTCCGCCAGTATTCCACAGTCTGTGAGGCAACGCTTTTTTTTCTCTCTCTCCTTTCCGCGTCACCTTTTCAGCTGACAACTGTTGTCTCCAATTCACCCTGTTGAGGGATCTGAGAAATATTTTATGATCTTGTATGTGGTTACCATGTCTCCTCTTAAGTCACCGAGGGCAGGCTACTAAGCAAGATAGGGTAACAGCAAAGATATTAAGAAGGCATTAACGGCTATGCGAGAATACTTGAACAAAAACTACTGTAAGAGATATCAGGATACTTTATCTCTTATAGTTCCATAAGGATCAGTTTTGCCCATCATCATCACCCCTCCCCCCCCAACATCTGACAACAGATGTGTAATTACCCTCTTTGTAATTGCCTTATTTTTTAGTTGTAGAATTAGTTGTTCGTAAAGTTCCGTCCTACAGACTTTCCTTTTTATTCCAGTTGTTTCAGCAATATTATTCTGTTAGGTCATTACAAACATCTACTACCGTGATGGTATGGTGCCAAAAATCCCTTCTGTGTTATTTTCACGTAGTTGTAAAGGGCTGTTAACCCAGGATGATAACCCTCAGGTCCTGCCCCCTAAGGGCTATTAAGCCAGGATAACTTGTGAAAGTCAAATTGTCTGGCTTCCATGGAGTCCTGTGCTCCTCTTTCCCGGAGAGGTGAGAGAGACGTGACAGATTCGAGCCAAGGATATGTGCGCCACACCAGTCGACTAACTCCCAGAGGCAGAGAGCCGAAGAGAACTAGACAAAAAAAAGACACGTAGAACAGCTTTTTAATGAACAGCTGAACAGTTTTTTCCCCATTATATCGGTTTCATATTTTTACTGAAATCCCCTTGGTGTAAATATTTCGATATGCCATCTATATTTGTATATAAACTCCTGAACTTATAAATGGACCGCGACAGGGGAAAAGAATATCAGTATTACTTAAGTATTGGTCATTTGTGAACCCTTAGTTTTTTTTTTATATTTATCATTGCTAATATATAGTCTTATTATTACGTTTTTGTTTTATAATGTGTTAATTAGTTTAATTAATGGTTTTCATATGCACCGCAGATCCATGGTGTGGGTGGCAGATCCATGGTGTGGGTGACAGACAAAAGATTACAGACCGGCTTAACCATAAGATTTTTTGTTTACTTTCTGGAACACGACTCGCATACATTAGATTCTCTCTCCATTATAAATGAGTTTTATATCTCTCCAAGCCGGGGCATTGTTCATCACGGGTGTGTGTGTGTGTGTGTGTGTGTGTGTGTGTGTGTGTGTGTTGAAGCCACCATAAAATTTTCATGTGACATAGTGTATAAATGGAGAATACTAGTCGGAATAACAGTGAAACAAGACTTAACAATAATTATAAACACCTATGCAGAATAATAGACGGAATAACAATGATAAAAAACAAAATCAAATACCAATGTTCTTGAGACTCTTAGATTATTGCATCTTCATAGTGCGAAGTTTAGCCTCACTTGTAGTCAGGGGGATGCGACACATTATTGTTCTGTCTAACATATTTTTGTATCACTGTTAATCTGGTGACCCGCACTGTGCGCTGCTCTCTGTCTGGGCCTGAGTTAGTACTACATGCCCACAACATCCAAGACCAGAGCATCCAAAACATCTCGCAAGCCAAATTTCTTCTCGGTGAGTGCCACTTTTCCAATGTCTTCTTGTGCCTTGTGCCGCTTGCGGAGCCACCTGCGGGCTGAGGGTACGGGGCCGCCAAACACACTTTATAGTAATTTATATATACCGTAATGCTTTCTCACTGAAAATTGTCACCAAAATAGTTAATGGTTAGTAGACGTATATATAGTGGTGGCTGCATGAAGCTTAGTAGTCGTAATTACCTGTCAGCGTTTCTTGTATATACAATACTACGCTTGTACGTTACTTCTGTTTCCTATAATATATATATATATATATTATATATATATATATATATATATATAAATATATATATATATATATATATAATAATATATATATATATATATATAATATATATATAATATGCATAAATTCATACTAGTAGCGAATTAATGTTTGTTATATCCTTGAGTGTATTTTCGGTGTTTATCATGCCACATACATCTGAAATTATATGTTACGGTAGCGTAGCTGAGTAATTTATCCATGTGGCTACGCTTGCATGTGTTACAATTAGCGCTTCGAATTTTACAAAAATGAATTGTAATGTTAGGTGTACTATGTAGACCAACACCAGCATCATTGCAACATTTGTTAGTGTGGATGATATTAATGAATAAATGAATTAATACATCGATGATATAAACAAAAGTATTTAACTCGTATCATAAAGACCTAATAAGAGATTCAATGATTGATGTTCCTATGTATTAAAGGTTACTGAGGCTTTGCTTACCTATTAAAAACTTTCAAATATTACTTGCTTATTGGCACCAACTTACATCAAGTTCTTTCCCACTAGGAAATGTTGAACCTGGAAGAATCGGCAATTTAAAAAAAAAAAAACCTGAATGTTGTCAGATTTTATCCCATCTTTTGAAAGTTACTCAAATTTCAGTATTTCTCGTTGTCTTCCTAAAAAAAAAAAAAAAAAAAAAAAAAAAAAAAAATGCCGCATCTGCGCCTACGGCCCTTGTGAGCGCACCCACCAGCTGTGATGGGGAGGTTCAAGGTTCATTAGTTAGTGAGGTTTAAAGCCTATCGACTACATGAAGCAGGAATATTTTAATCCCTTAAAAAGGAATTAGAGTATATTCTCAGCATATATATGTTGAAAGACGTGCAACTCACGGTATATAAGTGTTCAGCAAGTCGTTATTAATAGTCACAGGAATATATATTTTATGTTCGTCTTGGATCCCACTGTACGGTTACATGCATTGAAATTTATCAAGACTTCTCAAAGTATCTAAAATACGGTAGCCACACCCCATATACTGTACGGCACTGATCATACACATGTGAACTCTGGGGGGTGGGGGGTTACTGCCTAGATAATAGTGAGATATTAATTACAAAACAGGTAGACAAATAACCCGCACACGGGGGGAAAAAACAGGAACCTTGGTCCCCTTTA